ATAAAAATTGATAACCATCTGATGAGGAAAAATAAGCATTCTTTGTAAGTGGGCAAACCTGCAAAATCAGCAAGGGCTCAAATACTTATTTCCCCCACTGTATATTTTTAAAGATTGTATTTTTCAGTTTTATCATTTCTGTCCTATATTTTTGTTTCTACATTTTATTTCTTGCTTCTAATAGAAGTGTTGTGTTGTGCACCAAACACCAAGGCAAATTCCTTGTAAGTCTAAAAACCTACTTGGCAATAGGGATGGGGATGGAAACCCGGTTCTATCAAGGACCCGGTTCCACTTTTTTCAAAACCCGAAAACCAATACCGTTTGGGCTTATCGATAATGATGATGTGTTCAGATTGGCTCAGTAAAACGACAATTAGGTTATCATGATGCGTTCAAGTGTAACGTAAAGAAAAGGGAAATTGAGTTTTTGGCGAGAAACATGAGTAATACAGTTGTATATTGCTCTAATTATTTTAGAATATATCATTAAACTACTGATGCCAACATTTATTACAAATTACACTTAATTTAAAATACAATTATTTATTTGCTAAATATTGTCGCATCGTCTTTCCACCAAATAACAGAAAAGTGTGGATAGTGGTATCGATAAAGACTCGGATCGATAAGGAGTATCCATAAAGGTATCCATATCAATAAATATTAACCAGCCCCATCCCTGCTTGGCAATAAACCTTATTCTGATTCTGGTTCTCTGGTCAGTTTCTGGACTGTTCTGGCACCTTGGGCGTGATGAGGGAGCGGGCTTTGTCCAGCACCTCCTGGGCCGTGACCAGCTTCTCCCCCTGGGGGACCTGGGGCAGGGGCCCGGCCTGGACGTTTGGTACGCTGTCCACGTTAAATCGGGGGTGCCAGCGGGTCAGTTTGTCGTCTGGAACGGACACGGGGGGGGCCAGCGTGGAGAGGAAGGCCTGCACACAGAGGAGGGTACATATGATTAAAGTTATAGATCGTTGCATTCTTTGTAAGTGGGCAAACCTGCAAAATCAGCAAGGGCTCAAATACTTATTTCCCCCACTGTAAGTAACAAAATGCAGTATCTGGACTTTATTGGAGTAGACATTTTTCCATACTTTTACTTTTACTCCACTACATATTTTTGATTAATTTAATACTTTTACTCGATTTTTCATGGGCTGAATCGTTACTCGTTACTGAAATATGAATGTAATGATAGATAGCTCTGTCAGGGTTTGGGAAGCTGGCTCCTCATTGGGGATTTGAGAGATCAAGCATAGCCTATTAAGAAAAAAACTCCCGAAAGATTGGGTATTCATGGCCTTCAAAAACCTGTTCACTTAGAACATAGCAGCTAACGTTAGCTAAAGCTAACCTAGCTGGCTAGCTGTATGATATCGTTAGCCAAAGCTAACCTAACTGGCTAGCTGTATGATAACGTTAGCTAAAGCTAACCTAGCTGGCTAGCTGTATATTAACGTTAGCTAAAGCTGCCCTAGCTGGCTAGCTGATTGCTACATGCTAGCATAAAGGCTCAGCTCAGGATTCTGACTGGAATAATAAATAATAGTAGATGAAGTGCTGTTGATGCTAATGCAGATGTAGTTTTCTGTTTTTGTAAACACCTGTATGGCCTTTCACACGTTTGAAATAATATAAACAATATCTATCACACTTTTGACTGCCTTTTTTAATATACACAGTACTTGTACTTTTACTTATACTTGCACTTTCGATACTTAAGCAGCCATTTTTTAAATACTTCTGCTTGAAATACTTAAGTACAAAAAAATGGAGTACTGTACTTCCATACTTCCACTTAAGTATGGAGTTGAAAGAACACTTCTCACCCTGTGGTGCTGCTTGACCAGGGCCACCAGGTTCTGCTGGAAGATGTGTCTTCTCTCCAGGAGGCGAGAGGCGGACAGAGCTGGACGACTGCCGCTCTGGTCTGAGACACACACACACACACACACAAACACACACACACACACACACACGCACACATCAGACTACAGCTTGGTGCTGCTAAAATGGTTCTCCACTCAGTGATTTTATCTCACATTGAATAGAGCATCACAAGTTGGTCTCTCACCACAGTTACCAATTTAAAATTAATTGAATCACTGTACAAAAGATCTCTTAAAGTGTTTGACCAAAAACCCAATTCTTTCCATGTATGTAATATTTTGAACAAGTACAATCTTTTTCATTTTGAAAATTTGATACATTTTAAGTATGCATGCTTAATTTATAAAGCGCTACATGGACTAGCCCCACCTCCTGTGTCTACCCTGTTCAAACTTAAGACTTCCAGTGGGCTGAGAACCAGGGCCAGAACCAGAACCAGAACCAGGGCCTCCTCCAGAGGAGACTGTGGTTCCTCACAGAAGAACAGCTTTTGGTCAGAACACTCTCAGTGAGAGCCTCTAACATCTGGAACAGTCTTCCTCTGCACATACAGGAGAGCCTACACTGATCAGCTTTAGAGCTCAACTTAAATTTTGGATGAAAGCAAACCAGTCATGTGACCACTAAAATCTAAACATTTACTTGTGATGCTTGTATTGTTTATTATATGTTCTTTTTTATGCATTTGCCTGCCTAGGGACTACGGATGAAAATTAGCTTTGCGGCTTTTGACTGATGTTCATTAATGTGCTTTGTCCCTATTCAAATGAATAAATAAATAAATAAACCTGCTGGAGGCAGAGTTTGGCTGTGGGGGGGGGGGGGGTTCCTACCAGAGGGGATGAGGGGCTCCACAGTGAGCTGGTAGCTGCCCCTCACGGAGCTGAAGGCCGAAACGTTCTTCTCCTGTTTGAAGCTGTAGGCCTCTGGAAACACCGTCTTTATCTGGCCCACGTGGCTCTCCTCAAAGCGCCTTCAGGAGGAAACAAAGACCGTGTGACCCCAGAGTCAACTCCAGCTCTATGTGACCACCCAAGAGACCAGAGCTCTGGTTAACTCATTGACTGCCAGAGTTTTTTGAGCATTTTGACTGATTTTTCTAGAGCCACAGAATAGTTTGTGCTATGACTATGTAAACACCGAACACACCAAAAGAAAGAGTAGACTCTCTTCTTTCACCAGGAAAAAAAAAAGTGTTTCTACCTTATTCCGTTCTTCCTGGACTTGCGTCTCACCGGCGACATGTTCTCTCATAGAACCGTTCCCTTTTTCTTATTTGCCTACAGTCTATGCTCATCTCCCATCAAAAGTGGCACTGCCCCCTAGAGGGTCAATTTGTTACTACATACTCTGTCTAGAAGCCCATATTTACGGACAAGCTTTAGCAGATCGTCCCCCAGACACTCTCGTTAAAAACATAAAAGACCTCTATAGACGTCTTTGGCAGCCAATGAGTTAAAGGCACCCCCCCC